ATGGCAGGGCAAAGAGGTAATGACTAAGTGTTGGCTGTCTGAAGAATGAAATTATCGATTACTGGTTTTGCGTGGCAAAATATATTATAGAGTACAATATAAAGCTGCACGGACATAGTAGGAAATAGTGAATAGTTATGCAGCACTTAGAGACTATCTCCCAACACGGTTATAGCTTGATGCCTGAGTATGTATACAGAAAGCAGCTTTGCCAATTTATTCCGGTTGGATTACTTGTAGCTGCTTTTCAGTCCTTTCTCCAAAAGACGAATCACTTTGTTCATACATTAGCCTCTGCTGAAGTAGAGTAGGCTTCAGTGTTTATGTGAATGTTCCATTTTCGAGGTTTTCTTGCTACATCTTCAGCTTGTTGTCTGGGCGACGATGGATATGAGGCACTACAGGTCGACGGGCGCGCTTGCTGAAAAATGGATGGGAATCCCCATTCGTTTTGTAGACATTGCGCAAAAAGTTCACACACTGCACACACACACACACACACACATTTGTGGATAGGATGGGTTTCAGACAATGTTGTCGTCATTCCCGCCGCGCAGGCTCTCGTTGTCAGCGTCGTTTAGACCACCACCCATGTCACGCTCGTTGTAGTCGTCCATCCTGTCCCCACCGAACTCGTCACCTTGGAAGTGATCTTCGTTCAGGGTGTCCATGATGTCGTGACCTTCATCCTCTTGGAATTGACGATCCACAACCTCGGCGTCCTCCACGCCACCGCCAACTTCGTAACCCTCGATCTCGGCTGTCCGATAGTCGAAGTCCTGATCCTCGCCCCCGTGGTGACCGTAGCCGAACTCGTCTCCGTCCATGTCGCCATGTCCCCCACCGAATCCGACATCTGCCTCGTAGGCCATGCCCTGCTCGCCTGGTTGCATCATGTAGCCACCCATCATGGCCGTGCCAACCGGCGCAATCTGGTCGAACTCAGTCATGCCGGGCTCGCGCAATTCGCGGTTCCCCTCCAAGTCGACGTGAATCAGGTTGTTGGCGCTTCCATGACCTCCCCAGTTGGGCGTTGGCGTCGATCTGGAGGGCAGCGGAGGCGGGGATTCGCCCGATCTGTCGCGATCCGAGTCCCTTCTTCCGCCCGCTCCCCCCAGGTTGGCCAGGGACGAAGAGCGCGAGTAAGACCTTGACGACCCTCCTCCTCCTCCTCCTCCTCCTCCTCCGTTTCCGGCCGGATGCATGAGCTGTTGCTGTTGCGTAAGTGGTATAAAGGCGAGCGGAATGTCGTCGACTCCTCGGGGCAGTTCTTCGACTGGATAGTCGATGTGCCGCAGCAGCCAACGAGGTGGGGTCTGTTTTGGGTGATGTTGTTGGTGTTGCGCCAAGTTCACTTGTGACTGACGCAATTGGTGCTGCGGTTGAGAATGCTGTTGAGGACCGACGGGGTAGTAGTACTGGAAGGCAGACGGCGGCTGTTGAAGGTGTCGGCGAGCACGACGACTGCCCTGTTGCATGGCCTGCCGCACCGGTGGCGGTTGGCCGTAGCTCTGAACATGCGCTTGCGGCCGGGCGCTGTAGTAGCTCGAGTTGAACGGTCCTCTCCTCACGAAGCTTCCAGCCGCGACAACTGCCTGTTGAGATGGCTGCTGTTGATTCTGTTGATGATATTGTTGTTGTTGTTGTTGCTGCTGCTGTTGCTGTTGTTGTTGTTGTTGTTGTTGCCCAGATTGGACCTTGGAAGAGTAAACGTCTTGAGGGGCGCCCAAATTACTGAGCTGCAACTGGCCTCCACCAGCTGGTGTCGTGAACCTGCCATTCGGCACCTCCTTCAGGGAACCACCCTGGACCCGACTCATGCGTGAATCGATGCTCATGCGGGGACCCTGAAAGCGAGATGGCCAGTTGAATAGGATTAATTCATAAAGCTTATTTTATAGGAAACTATTGAAAAGCATACCGATATAATGTGGATCTCGAGACTACCAGTAGATCTGGAATAGAAGTTCCAGTCACTCTAGGTCTTATTAAGTGATGGAGGAATGATTGTTGAATTATATCGCAACCAGAATAGTGAGCCTCATGTTTCCATTGAAGTTCACCTGGTATTGCTTCCAAAAAGGTTTTCTCATCCATGGTGGACTGGACTGCACTTTCAAGCTCGACTGGGTCCCAGCATATCCCATAGCCGGAATCGAACCCTGGCTGTGCAGTGCATAAACTTTAGTACCGTGTTTTATTTCCGCTGTGTGGGCAGAAAGGATCAGTTCAGGTAATGCCTTTTGGGGAGCGAAGCCATGTGAAATTCAATGGAAATGTGAGGCCTAATTATAGGATTGTGGCAAAAATCACCTATCAGTCCTGCATTACTTAGCGCTACCGAGGGTGACTGGGACTGTTATTTTTGAAAGTTGGACGCCTTCATGGGATAATTACCGAATGTAATGAGCAGTCAATCAAGTTCAGAATGATTGGTTAAAAATGGAACTAGTCCAGTAAATCTGCACCGAAATAAACGCTTGCAAATGAAAAAGAAGTCCATTTTGTCTGAAAGACTCTGAGTATAGCCAGCAGATACTGTTGCACCAACAATGTACCAATCGTGCGTCCAGCTTTCTTCCGATGCCGACTGGCCCAGTAATTGGGGCACCACATTTCTTGTGGCATACAAATTAGTGGATACAACCGGCAAAGCTTAAGCTAATGGTCAGCATCTCTTGCTAAATGAATGAAGTGATCAAGTGGTACGGGATCTTTGATTTCGTGTGAATACGTGAGTATAGTGGGTTCATATGATGGTCACACTGGAACCCGATGAGCGATTGACTTGGAGTTGTGGTCGTTCATTTGAATGAAGTAGTCCTCGACGTACCCTCCTCCGACCCTGATCCATTCATGTAGAGATTTCGTCTAGTCTGCTCTCAACGATATTATCATAGCTGAGTTCAGCATGTGAACAATTTCCATCGAATTTCTCAAGCAAAATGAAAGTTCAATAGCATTACACTCTTAAGTTAGCTTTCAAAACCAAATTTTTCATCATATAAAATGAGCAATGTCAAGGCGTTAATAAGCAATATTTGACTAAGGAAAAAGTTGATGTTTGCAAGATTTTGGATACTCCATTCCCTTAATTTTTTGGGTAGCTTGTTGAGACCATAGCTTGAAGGACTGGTAGAAGAATTTTGCTACAATGATATGAATTTCACATAGCCTTGCTTTATATGTGAAATTCAATGGAACCGTCAGCTCTACTCATATCATTGTGAGAAAATTATTCTACCAGTCCTTCATCACCTTAAACAAAATTGAGTGAATACATCTAATATTACTGATTTACTGGTAGTCTCGAAACAATACTTAAATGCGAAAAATAAAGCAGACATGATCTGCAAAATGCACAAAATTTAACTTTACCCTAAAACCTACTAGTTTACGAAAAAAGTAATGTCATCGATTGCTATAGCAAATATAAGTTTGCTTCATCGACAATCCAATCACAGAATGTGAAACGAAAAATGCATGACATTCCTTGCAATTCACATCTGCCCTGTGACCCAAGGGCACTTGTGGCAATTTGGCATAGTTGTTAACGCG